ATTTGGCTGTGCACAGCATTTCATTTTGGTATTTTCTGTCATCTATTCTTTGATTATCTTCCCCTGTTTTCATTTGGATTGAATTAAAAAAATTCCATCCACGTGGTCTGTTGGTTTTTTTCAGCTACACCTCTGTAAGTTTTTTTTTTTTTAGTGTTTATATTAGTCTGCTTAGGTTGACATAATAAAATACCATAGACTGAGTGACTTAAACAATGAAAATTTGTTTTCTCATGTTTCTGGAGTCTAGAAAGTCCAAGTAATGGTTTTGATAAGGTTCAGTTTTGTTGGGAGCTCTTATCCTGACCTGTAGACAGCTGCTTTCTAGCCTTTTCCTCATGTAGAAAAGAGAGAGGTGACCTTTATGACCTCATTTAACTTTTATTACTTCCTCAAGACCCTATCTCTGTGTACAGTCACTTGAGGGTTAGGGCTTCAGTTTATGAATTTGGGAGGGGACACAGTGCATTCTGTAGCAGTGGTTATGGAGATGAGTATGTCCATTCTTAATTTATCAAGTAGAATCAGATTAATATTATAATAGTTCATGACCAGCTAATGTCCTTGTTGTTCATGTCCTTAGATATATGTTATAACCCCCCCCCCCAGATATTGTTACTTTATTTGCTTTGAACAGTCATTTTTTTTTTTTTGAACAGTCATTTAAATAAATGTAGGAAAAATAGTCTTTATATATTTAGTGACATGTTTATTTTTTCTGGATCTTTTCATTCATTCCTGGATTCATTTTCATACTAATTCATTTCCTATCAGTCTGAAGAACTTCCTTTAGTGTTGTTTTAAAACTTGGTTTAAAAAAAAGATGTAGTTCACTGCTATATAATTCACCCTTTAAAAGTGATTAAGTTCAGTGACTTATATATATTTGCAAAATTGTATAGCCATGACTAGAGTCATGTTAAGAACATTTCATCACCACAAAGAAAGAAACCCTGTGTCCTTGGACTGATCACTCCTCATTTTCCTTCAGCTGCTATTCCACTGCATCCAACCATATGCAGCCACCAGTCTCTCTTTTGTCTCTGGATTTGCCCATTCCGGATATTACATATAAATGGGATCATGTAATATGTGGTCTGTTGTGCCTTGCTTAGCATAAAGTTTTTAAGGTTCATGTTGTAGCAGGTATCTGTACTTAATTTCTTTTATTACTGAATTATATTCTGTTATGTGGATATACTACATTTTATTTATCCATTTATTAATTGACAGACATTAGGCTTTTTCTTTTTGACTATTATGAATAACATTGCCATGAACATTTGTGAAGTGTTTGTGTTGAATAAGTTTTGGTTGTTGATAAGCCCATTCTTCCCTCACTAAATTGTCTTGGCATCCATGAATTGAATTCAGTTGAAAATCAATTGAGGAACTTCCCTGGTGGTCTAGTGGTTAAAATTCCTCACTCTCAATGAATGGGGCACTGGTTCGATCCCTGGTGTGAGAACTAAAATCCTACATGGCGCATGCTGTGACCTTTAAAAAAGAAAAGAAAAATTCAGTTGTTACAAATGTGGGCATTTATCACTGGACTCTTAAGTTCTGTTCAGTTGATTGGTATGTTTAGCTTTTCAAATGACTCATTTGAAAAGACCCTGATGCTGGGAAAGATTGAGGGCAGGAGGAGAAGGGGACGACAGAGGATGAGGTGGTTGGATGGCATCACTGACTTGATGGACATGGGTTTGGGTGGACTCCGGGAGTTGGTGATGGACAGGGAGGCCTGGTGTGCTGCGGTTCATGCTGTCGCAGAGAGTCAGACACGACTGGGTTACTGAACTGAACTGAATGTTTAGCTTTATGCTGAGTACGGTAGCTTTATATAAGTTTTGAGATTGGGAAGTATGTGTCCCCATTTGTTTCCATTTTTCAAGATACTTTGAGTTATTTCGGGGTCCCTTGCATTTCCATGTGAATTATATAAGATCATCGGGGTCCCTTGCATTTCCATGTGAATTATATAAGATCAGCTTATCTCTTTTACAAAAATCTCAGGTGGGGCATTGATAGGGATTGTATTGAATCTGCATTTCACTTTTGGGGAGTATTGCTGTCTCACCAATACTAAGTAAGTTGTCTAAGTTATGTAACTGTGGAGTATTTATCCTTTTTTTAAAAAGGCTGGCTTTAATTTTTTTTTTCCCCCAACAGTTTTGTAGTTTTCTGTGTACAAGTCTTAGTATTTTGGTTCAGTTTATTAAGCAGTTTATTGTTGATCTATTGTAAATAGGGTTGTCTTCTCAATTTCATTTTTGATGTTTGTTCCTAGTGTGTAGAAATACAATTATTTTGTTATGTGTTGATCTTGGATCCTGCGATCTTGTCAAACTCACTTATTCCCTTAGTTTTTTTTTTTTGTGTGTGTGGATTTCTTAGGATTTTCTGTTTTATATCCACAGAGTTTAGTATCTTTGGGCAGTTCTGGAACCAGTCTCCCTCAGATACTGGGGGTGACTGTATGCAAGATCATGTCATCCACAAATATAGGTTTTTTTTTTTTTTTAAACTTCTTTTTCAATCTGGATGTCTTTTATTTCTTTTTCTTGCCTGATCACCCTGGCAGAACCTCTAGTATGGTGGTGGTGGTTTAGTTGTTAAGTTGTGTCCTACTCTTGCAACCCTGTGGACTGCAACCAGGCTCCTCTGTCCATGGTATTTCCCAGACAAGAATACTGGAGTGGGTTGCTATTCCCTTCTCCAGGGGCTCTTTCCGACCCAGGGATTGAAATCAGGTTTTCTGCATTGCAGGTAGATTCTTTACCACTGAGCCACCAGGGAAGCCTGAACCTCTAGTGTAGTTACATAATTAGAAATGGTGAGAACTAATATCCTTGTGTTGTTTTGGTCTAAGGAGGTAGTATTTTTTGTGACGTGTGAGTTCTTTCAGATGTCTGAAAGTGTCTTTAGTTTTGAAGGCTTCTTTTAAACCTACAACATCACATTGACTCTTTAAATGCTTTATGATGGGTGTCATTCCATTGTCTTCTGTTTTACATTGTTTCCCACGAGTAGTTAGTCTGTTGTTACCATCCTTTTTCCTCTAGTCTGTTCTTTTTTCCTTCCCTTGTAAGGTTTTTCTCTTCATCTTTTTTTCAGCTGCTTGATCTTTATGTGCCTAGGTATGACTTTTTTTTGATGTTGCTGAGCTTCTTGGACCTGTGGATGAAAATCTTTCACTTTGGGAATATTTTTGTTCAATTTCTCTTCAAATGTTTCTCCTTTTTTTCTCCTGCCATTTTGGAGGTGCTGCTACCAATATGTTAGATCTCGGATGTGTCCCACAGGTCTCTGACACGTTTTGCTTTTTTCTCTATCCTTCAGTCTAGATCCCCAACCCCTGAGCCACGGACCAGAAAAATTGTCTTCATGAAACAGGTCCCTGGTGCCAAAAAGTTTGGGGACCAGAAGTCAAGATGATATACTTGAATAAATTTCTGCTCACTTCAGTTTCTGAATGATTTACTTTAATAATCTTAGCTCACCTCAGTTTTAAGGGTCGGATCGAACTCCTCTTTCAGACAGGGCCCTGGAATCTTAAGTGCTGTGACACTAAGTTTCTGTTTTCAGGCCAAGTTTCTGCATCACTAGAAATTCTGCAGAAGTCCCCTGGAGGATAATTGATGGTAGCAAGACTTGTTTTCTGTTGAGGGCAGGTTTTAGTCTGCCCATACTCAGGCATTGAAAGTTTAGTTTCTCTGTGTTCCAGCAAAGATTCTTTGCTTATAGCATCCTTTTTCTGTCTTCATTTGTACTTCAACCAATGTAAATGCCTTGTAGGGTTGAAAGCACTAGTAGTCTGTGGTCACTTAGAGATGGCTGGTCCCTCTCTGGAATTCAGTTGATTTAGACTTATTTTGTACCCAGAGGTATTCAGTGGCTTTAAAGAAAGAATCGAATTTTAAATTTATTTAGTGTTTTGTCACTGTATGTACTTTGTGAACTTCCATATTCTAACTGGAAGTCCTTTATTGAAGAATTTTTGAGTGAGGTCAAGATCTCAAGTCAGTTTTTCAAGGGGCAAATAGCTACACGTTGATTTAGTTGTTGCTTTTGCATATTTGAGGTAAATGAAAGTTATACAGATAAAGTGACTTTAATTGGGTTAGTGAGTTGTGCTAACATGTTCTCAAGATACATTGGTATAGTTTATATGTGTTCAGTGATGAATTAGGCAAAGTGGGAAACTAAAAAGTTGATTTTAATTTTGATGAAGTATAAACACTGAAGTCTGGACAGATTATATGTCCTTGCCTTCGTCCACCTCCATCCTACCCTCCCCTTTTATTTTGGAAGAACTAATGCTGGATTGTTTACATTGAAAGTGACTTTTTCAGTTTTCAATTTGAAAAATCACCTGGCAGCAACATTGTGACTGCAGTGGGAAAACTAGTAGCTAGTACATTTAAAAATGGTTAAAATGTTACATTTTATGTTGTATGAATTTTATCTCAATTAAAAATCAATGGGCGGTTTGAAAGGCCCTTTCTGATGTTTATTTAAATTTTTAATCATAATGGACGTTTGTTTGCTTTTATTGGCAGTTGTTTATTAGTCTGTAGATTTCAAGAGTTTGATTTTGTATCAGTGCTAGCTAACTTTCAAAACTGAATTCATTTGAAGAATACTCTTAGGTTTGATCTTAGCCAAAAGGCTGAGAAGCGATGCAGAACACTATTAGAAAAATAAGTGTTACAACATATCTTGCTTTTTGATTTAGTCATGAGAGTTATTTATTAAAACTTTACCCTTTACTTTATATATTTTTTCATGAGAAATTGATGGAATATGTAAAAGTGTGATGTTGGTAAACCGTTGAGAAGCTTGTTATGTTATACAGAGTTTTTTTTTTAATGAATGGCTCTTGAAATCTGATGTGATTTTACTTGGTTTTCAACAATCTCTTTTTCCACCTTTCCCTTCCTGAGTCTTAATTATGGATGATTCTGTCCTTTTTAATCCTCCCTACCCTGTCTCTCCAGCCTTGGCAACAGTTTTGAAGATGGTTCCCATGTAACATCACCATTAAACCCAAATGAAAACTTCAATGTTGTCATTAAAGAAGAGCCTCTGGATGATTATGAATATGAACTTGGTGAGTGCCCAGAAGGGGTCACTGTGAAACAGGAAGAGACAGATGAGGAAACAGATGTATACTCAAACAGTGATGATGATCCTATACTAGAGAAACAGCTGAAGAGGCACAATAAAGCTGATAACCTAGAAGCTGACCATCCATCTTCTAAATGGCAACCAAATAGCCCATCAGGTGTTGCTAAAGCTAAAATGTTCAAATTAGATGCTGGAAAGATGCCAGTAGTCTATCTGGAGCCCTGTGCTGTCACCAAAAGCACAGTGAAGGTTTCTGAGCTCCCTGACAACATGCTTTCCACATCTCGGAAGGATAGATCTTCTCTGTTGACAGAATTAGACTGTTTGCCTGCGTACATTGAAAATTCTAATGAGACTGGCTTCGGCTTAGGCAGAGAATCAGAAAATGATCTTGGAAGCCATTCACCAGATACCACATTGGTACAGAAATATCCCTCACTTAAAGAAGCTCAGTGGAAATACCCTGATATATCTGACAGCGTTAACACAGAAAAACTACTTGATAGTTTAAAGAGTTCAGTTGGGGACTCGTTTTTAGGAAAAGAGGACTTGGGCAGAAAGAAAACTATGCTTAAGATTTCAGTGGCTCCCAGGACTGTGAATGCTAATCAGAATGCTCCTCCAAATGTCCCTGGAAAAAGAGGAAGGCCACGAAAACTGAAACTGTCTAAGGCGGGGCGGCCACCTAAAAACACAGGAAGATCTTTAACTTCTACAAAGAACACTCTTACGGGCCCTGGGAGTACCTTTCCAGATGTGAAACCTGATCTGGAAGATGTAGATGGTGTTCTCTTTGTTTCCTTTGAATCAAAGGTAAGATTGTCATTTTCAGCTTTCTTTCTAAGGCCAAGTAATCATCATTAAGTTGTATACTAGCTGCTAGTTATCTTTGAATGTGGTTACTGTGAATGCATCCATTATATGAGGTTGTGTGCATGGGAAGGAATATTCCCGTGGGTTAGCAGTATTAACCCAGTGCTTCAACTAGATTATTTTTCTTTTAGATTTTTAGAGAAACCTAGTCTTTCTAAATTGACTACACAGAGGTTGAATTCTCTCTGCCTGTTTTTTTCCTCCCTCCTTGTAAATTGCTGAGTAATCTATCTTTATTTACACAGGGGCTTCCCAGGTGGAGCTAGTGGTAAAGAACCTACCTGCCAGTGCAGGAGACATAAGAGACATAGGTTTAATCCCTTGGTCGGGAAGATCCTCTGGAGGAGGTCATGGCAACCCACTTCAGTATTCTTGCCTGGAGAATCCCATGGAAAGAGGAGCCTGGTGGGCTACAGTCCGTGGGGTCACAAAGAGTCGGACACAACTGGAGCAACTTAGCATGCACGTAGAAGAAATCAGTATACAAATTGCAATAAATGGGCATAAATACAGTTCTAAGTCAGTTAGCTGAGTGTATTTAACTTATTTGCTTTCTTCCCACTATTAAAGTGATGTTAATGTAGAACATTTAGAAAATAGTGGAAAGTATCAACATGGAAAAAAATGCCCCTGGTTTACTTTTAAAACCGTAGAAGTGACACGAACCACTTTTTTTCTTTCTTTTTTGTTTTTTTTAATACAGGAAGCTCTAGATATTCATGCAGTTGATGGAACAAATGAAGAATCTTGTAGTCTTCAGGCATCAGCTGCAAATGACCCAGGTATTATATAATAGTAACAGAAAGAGATGGAGAATTTGGCTCTGGAAGTGAAAGAAGCAATGTGTAGTCTGCTGTAGTATATAGCAGCTTATTTTTATCATTGTTTTCTGAGTAGGTTGCAGAGCAAGAATTTCCCAATTGGAAAAGGAATTGATAGAAGATTTGAAGGCCTTGCGGCACAAGCAGGTCATACATCCTGGTCTTCAAGAAGGTATAATTCTCTAAAAACTATGCAAGCCTTGTTTATTTTTGTTGTTGCTGTTCTTTTGTATTCTTGTCCTCTCTTCTCTCTTTTTTCTCTCTTCCCTTTGCTCCTTCCCCAAACCTTTTCTGTTTTCCTCCTTTCCCGTATCTTTTGATTTCATTTATTTTAGCACTTCTCTCAGCTTGCATTTTTTTCTGTTCTCTCTGTTCATGATTTTTTCCCTTAACTAAAAAGCATGCCTAGGTCTTTTGTATCCTAAGAGAAACCTTTCAGACTCTGAGGATACTGTTTTGTCGTTGGTGAAGCATAATATATTATGCATTAAAAATGTATCATGATAAGAAAGTGGTATTTTTCTTATAAAGAAATTTTGGTCGCTTTTGTTTTGGGGGGTTTTTGAAGGTTCCTTTGTTTTGTCTTTGGAGGGAAAGACCCTACTTTTTTTTATGTACTTGGTAATATATTTAGCTATGTAAAGAGCATACTTATTTCTCATACATGACTGTAAACATTTTATATATTTCATATATTGCTTGGAGTGTAATTTAAAATTTTCATCATTACCTATTTTGTTGAAATAGTTTCTCTTGGCCTTGATTACATGGTTTAATCCTTTTTTAAAGAATAGCAAAATTTAGACAGACCCCCCCCCCCAAAAAAAAAAAGAATAGCAAAATTTACTATACCTATGCCATTATAATTAACTACTGACTTTCCTCCCTGTTTGCACTGTAAATAAAAGGACTGTAAACCATGCCTCAATTTTTAGTTTTCTCATATCTTTTAATTTACGTATGCTTCTTGGAGTAGTTTATTTTGAGTTTTGCCTTTTAGTCAATTTTCAAAGGACTGTCTAGGCTGATTCACATTGTATAGTAGATCATTTATATGAAAGTCTAAGCATTATATGCCAACAGAACATTGATTTATAAACAGCCATTCAGTTTCTAAATTCAGTGGTAATATTTGAACTTTTCGCTTTAATGTGAGACTGTGTGACAGTATGGTGTTAAAGTATGTAAATTTCAATCCAAGTAATCAGGACTGGATACTGTGGGTTGTAATGGAAAATCAGTCATGTCATATTAGTCTTGCTGGTAGTAATGTTTGCTGTCCTTTATTGTTTGCTTTCATTTCTGCTATTTTATTTAAATACTATTCTTTTCTTATCAGTTATAATGTTTACATTGTGTTCTTTCAGCCTAATCACCACATTTATTTTATTGTCTTAGTTCTAGAGTTAAATATATTTAGTGCTCCCTGCTGATCTTTTTGCTCTGTTTGTTAATTTTTTTGGCTAAGGTTTGAGTTTTTTCCTTTCCTTATAGACATTTTAGTCAAATCTGTGATTTTTTTCCTTTGTGTAATGGGCCTTCAAAGTCAAATGCTTATGGGAACTAAGCAGGAAACATATAGTGAAATTAGCCTGAATTTGTGGGTGGGGTTGGACTCTGGTTGGCTGGAGCATAGGTTCTTTTTCTAAAGGGTCATCCACATCAGTTCAGTTCAGTTCAGTCGCTCAGTCATGTCCGACTCTTTGCGACCCTGTGAACCGCAGCACACCAGGCCTCCCTGTCCATCACCAACTCCTGGAGTCCACCCAAACTCATGTCCATTGAGTCAGTGATGCCATCCAATCATCTCATCCTCTGTCGTCCTCTTCTCCTCCTGCCTTCAATCTTTCCCAGCATCAGGGTCTTTTCCAATGAGTCAGCTCTTCACATCAGGTGGCCAAAGTATTGGAGTTTCATCTTCAGCACCAGTCCTTCCAATGAACACCCAGGACTGATCTCCTTGAGGATGGACTGGTTGGATCTCCTTGCAGTCCAAGGGACTCTCAAGAGTCTTCTTCACATCAGTGAATTGTCAAATAGGAATGTAGGCCCATTATTTTCAGAAATTCCCATTGTGGTGTAGAAGGTTAAGTATTTTAATGTAAAATCTATCCGTTGTAAGTGGTGGCAGCTGATACAGTTTTTTTGGACAGAAAAGTGTGAGGCATCAGTTTTCACTTACTACACAAATTATGCATTTAGTGTTCAAGTTTGTACTTAATCGTCACATTGTTAAGGTTAATTCAACTACATTCTTATATAGCTTTCCAGTTAAATCTGTAGTCCATGTGTACTTCTAAAATCCATGAGGCACTTTACATAATGTATGAGGCAGAATTACAGTTTGGAATTTTTCCTCTTATTTTGGCAGATGTCTCCCCCAGCCCCCAACCTTTGCTTAAGACTTAAAATATTAAAAGAATTAAGTTAGTTTGACTAAATGTTTATAGTAACTGATGGTGCCAACTAAGTATCTGCAGATAGTGAAAATACTCATCTAGATTTCTAAGAATTGATGCTTGAAATAATTTATTAAATTTATTACATTTCAATTCAGTAATGTCATGTTTGCCTTTCTGTCAACTGTAGTGTTTCGTTATTAGAAAATGAGCACTTCTAAATTTAGAAAGTTTTTGAGCTGGAAAAGAAAAACCTTGAAAAACTTTGTGAACTTCCTTTGTAATTGTGGAAGAAATGTTGATTTAAGCCTGAGAAAATGTTTTTATTGTTGTTGTTCATAGTTTTGTTGCTAAAATAAGATTCTTAATTTTGTTTTCCACAGTATGATATTTTTGTCTCATACTTTTCTTTGCTACTCCAAATTGGTTCATTTTCTAAGTCCATCAACCTGAAATTACAATTTTTTGATCTTTAAAGGTATTTTTATAAAAGCGTTTTCTACTTCATTGCTACCAAGTGAATTAATTCTATGTCAGTTGTTACATTAATGTTTTATTTTAGGTGAGTATTAGATTTGCAGAAATATTGGAACCATATAGTACAGAGTTCCCATATACTCAACATCCAGTTTCCCCTGTTGTTAACATCTAACTTTAGCCCAGTACAATTGTTACAATTAGAGAACCTACTGATATACTATTATTTATTAAAGTGCATACTTTATTCAGATTTCCTTAGTTAACTTTTTATGTTTCAGGGTATCACCTAGGAAAATGTCATAGTACTGCATTTAGTAATCATGTCTCCTTAAGATCCTGTTGGCTGGGATGGTTTCTCAGCCTGTTTCGTTTTTAATTATCTTAACAGTTTTGAGGAATACTGGTCAGGTATTTTGTAGAATGACCCTCAGTTGAGATTTGTGTGATATTTTTCTCGTGGTTCACCTGGGACCATGTGTTTAGGAGGAAGACCACAAAGGTAAAGTGCCATTCTCATCTTACCATATCAAGGGTATGTATTATCAACATGATTTGTCACTGACATTTTTATTCTGTAATTTTTGGAAGGAAGTCACTGTGTAGTCTGCACTTAATGAGTCGTAAGGTATGCTTCTCTTTCTTGAGGATGGAGTATCTGCATAAATTACTTCGGATTTTTCTGCAGCCAGAGATTTCTTTTTCCCTCATTTTCATTCAGTCTTTTATACAGTATGAACTCCTGTCGGGTTTTTTTTTTGTTGTTGTTAAATTCCCTAAATGACAGTATTGCCAGGGCACTCTCTCTTTCTTTTTAGTTACTTAAAAAAAATCTCTGAATGTAGTGTTAGATCAGTGGTTAGGTAGAGTTTTTCGTTTATGTATCTACATCTACTTTTCTGTTCTGTGTTCACTAGTTATACAGGTTTTTCTTTTGAGTGTATTTTTGTGGATACCTCCTTTTTAAGTACATTTAGCTAGATGCACACTTTTTTTTTTTTCCTGCTACAGTTTATCATCTTAGGTGATTCTGCCTTGAACCTAGAGGGTTATCTGTTTTTGTTTCTTTCTTTATGAGTCTTTTTTTCAATGGTGTGATAATGTGTTCTTAAGAAGTTTCTCCTAAAATGATGAAAAGGCAGAAGCATTTAGGGGTATGATTTAAACCATCATGTGCAAAGGGTTTTGTGCTTTTACGGGGATATGCTAAGAATTACTTAACTTATTTTTGCAAGCTAAAGTTATTCTCATTCATATAGAACCAACTAAGTCTGGGTCTTATGGCAAATAAGTCTTCATGGCAAATAGATGGAGAAACATGGGGAAATAAGTCTTCATGGCAAATAGATGGGAAAACAATGGAAACAGTGAGAAACTTTATTTTTTTGGGCTCCAAAATCACTGCATATGGTGACTGCAGCCATGAAATCAAAAGACGCTTGCACCTTGGAAGAAAAGCTATAACCAACCTAGACAGCATATTAAAAGACAGAGACATTACTTTGCCAACAGAGGTCTGTCTAGTCAAACCTATGGTTTTTCCAGTAGTCATGTATGGTTGTGAGAGTTGGACTATAAAGAAAGCTGAGCACCAAAGAATTGATACTTTTGAACTGTGGTGTTTGAGAAGACTGTTTGAGAGTCCCTTGGACTGCAAGGAGATCCAACCAGTCCATCCTAAAGGACATCAGTCCTGGGTGTTCATTGGAAGGACTGATGCTGAAGCTGAAGCTCTAATCCTTTGGCCACTTGATGCGAAGAACTGACTCATTTGAAAAGACCCTGATACTGGGAAAGATTGTAGGTGGGAGGAGGGGACGACAGAGGATGGGATGATTGGGTGGCATCACCGACTCAATGGACATGAGTTTGAGTAAACTCTGGGAGTTGGTGATGGACAGGGAATCCTGGTGTGCTGCAGTCCATGGGGTCACAAAGTTCAGTTCAGTCGCTCAGTCCAACTCTTTGCGACCCCATGGACTGCAGCACACCCGGCCTCTCTGTCCATCACCAATTGTAATACTTTGGCTACCTGATGTGAAGAACTGACTCTTTTAAAAAGACCCTGATGCTGGGGAAGATTGAACGTGGCAGGAGAAGGGGACGACAGAGGATCAGATGGTTGGAAGGCATCACCGACTCCATGCACATGAGTTTGAGTAAGCTCCGGGAGTTGGTGATAGACAGGGAAGCCTGTTGTTCTGCAGTCCATGGGGTTTGAAAGAATCGGACATGACTTAGTGACTGAACTGAAACTGAAAGTCTGGGTCTCAAGTACTAGTTTCTTGGGGAAGGATTTTCTCTAAGGACAAACATTTCAGGATGTGTAGGTAAGCTAAGTTGGGAATTACTTTGAGCAGTGTCCATGTGCCATTGACCTCTCTACTGTTAAGGCTTTAACAAAATTGATAAGTATATTTAAAATAAATTTGATCATTGATGTTTTTAGGATCATTTAATACACCCTTTGGGGGAAGATGGCAGTTCAAAATATTAGCAAATACAGACAAGAAGATATGTAGGGAAAACAGTCTGTAAATTTGATTGTTCTGGTCTAGATTTTGCATGTCTACCTACCTATTTAGCTGTATGGATGCATTTTTAACAGCTTAATTCCTTTTTTTCTGTTTTCTCTGTAGGCTCAAGTAGTTTTTGTCTGTAATAATAATGTGTTTCTCTTTTCAAAGCACTATAGTATCTAATTTTATCCTTTGTTTAGGATTCAGTGTCACTTGAATTTCTGCAGTATTTTGTGTTCTGCTCCACTCTGGTTCCACTGTGCTCTGCCTCCCCACCTTTCCTAGTTAATTCCTACTTACTTTAACTTAAGAATTAGACTCTCTGTACAGTTTTACCAGGTTGCCTTGGGCTTTTCAAGTATCATTCCATTTGCCTCTCACAGGATTTTTTTACTCTATTGTAACTACTAATGAGTCAGTTGGGAAAACAACACAAAAGCTCCATGAGTTCTGGGAAATGTCTTTTATCTCTGTCATCATCTACATTGCAGAGCATTTCAAAGAGAAGGTACAGTTAATTCTTAAGACATAAAACTCAGTGCAGTGGATTGATACTTATTTCACTGATGAGAAAGCAGAAACTAAGAGAAATTTAGCCCAAAGTCAGGATTAGAAAACAGTTTTTTTGACCCATATTAACCTGCCTGTCAAAGCAGGAGACTTAAGAGACACGGGTTTAATCCCGGGTTTGGGAGGATCCCCTGAAGGAGGGCATGGCAGTCCACTCCAGTATTTTTGCCTGGAGAATCCCATGGACAGAGGAGTGTGGTAGACTACAGTCCATAGGGTCGCAAAGAGTCGGACATGACTGACACTGACAACACACACACACACACACACACACATTTTTCTCCCTAGTTGATTGAAACATGAGGAAAATACTTTATTGATGTTCATTTTAATCACATTATGTGATTAAATAAAATAAGCATGATAAAATGATACTTATTTTAAAGAACTAGAATTATAAACTAAAGCCAAATTGCCATCTTTTGTTTATTAAGTTTTATGTGGAGTATATACAAATCAACCTTAAGAGAACTTGAAGCTTGTAACCTGACCAGTGTGTTCACCTTGCAGGAAACCAGTACTATGTAAGCTTTTTATTGGAAACCTGTACCTGTGACTTCTAGTAGTTAATACTAGGATGGTTGATGCTTTGAATTTTCTTTTTCTTTTTTTTTGATGCTTTGAATTTCTTATTTCAGTTTTGTTCAAATTTAAGTTAAATACTTTCCTGCTCAGTAATATGAAGCCAGTAATTGCACAAACAAGGAAATCCAAATTAGAAGCTTGTCACTAGTAACAGCAAAAGTTCAAATTTAAGAACAATAGGATATAGATTTATACCAATAAGATGAGGACAGTTTTAAAAGTCCAGTGATATAAAATGTTAGTGAGGATGTCGATCAGCAATGACTCTTAACGCTGTTGGAAGTTTAAATGGAGAGTTAATTGGCAGTCTAGTGGACAACTTCCTAACTAGTGCAGTATTGCATGTGGTTAACTATCCATGATTGTGTGACAGGTATGCTCTTGAAGTACTTGATCTCAGAGTGGCCAGACAAGACCATGGGAAATTAACTGTAACTGGTTGCCTCTAGCCATAAGCAGCCTAATGTTTATTCCAGTTTGTTATGTAATTACTGTTTTCTTATTTCCCATTAAATAAGAAAGATTCAGAATAACTGGGTGTATCAGTTAGAATTCTTAATTGCAAACATCAGAATCCACTTACTTTACAGGTGAAATAGGATATAAATTTATTAAAGAATATCAGATGATTACAGAGAGAATCTCCTGAAAGGCCTTAGAAACAGACTCTAGGACTATGCAGTCAGGAAAAATGTCCAAATTATATTCCGTACAAGCCCATACAAGCAGTCTCACAACACTGAACAGTTATTACCATTTTGAACATAGTACACTGAACACAGTATACTACAGCTAGGGCGTTGATTACTTCTAAAAGTTCTTAACTTGGCGAAACAGTATCACCCTCATTAACACAATTCTGCATAGTATTCCTTTGCTTATGGTCCTCTCTTCTAGATTGAAGCCTTTTATGGCTGCATCTGTGTTTTAACACTTCTCCGTTGAAGAGGTGGGGGTTATAATGTGGAAAGGTAATAAAGGTTCTCAGAATATTTTGGGCAGCCACATGCATGTCAAACAATATCCAGTAACTTAAAGATGAACATATTCCATTATATAGCAATTCCACTCTTGAGGAATTGCCATAAGGAAAAGCTAAATGCACTGGAGAAGCTTTCATACATGTTCATATTTGTGATAGACTTTTTTTGTACAAGATGTATAATTATACTGCAGTATTTTTTTGTAATAGTTTAAAATAGGAAACAGCTTAATTCTCATCAGGAGGAGAATGGTCAATAAATGAGAGTCATTCATAATCTGGGATAGTGTACAACAGTGAAAATAAATCATGTAGACATAAACCTGTCAACATAGACAAATCTTGATGTAAAATGTGAAGGGAAAAAAGGTAAAAAGATAGGTAAAATAAATGCTTTCCCAATGCCTACAGATAAGCCATAATATTTATAGGCTCCATTAACCATAAATATCTTAATAATAACTAAAGAATTAATAGCCTTCACCAGGCCAGAGGCTCAGACTATTGCATGTTTGTATTAGAGGTCCTAGAAAATCTCTGGGCTATAAAGTATTAAAATACAAAAGATCTGAAGTCTGCTATGTTTATATATTAGTTATCTATTGTTGCTTAACAGATTGCTACAAACCTAGTGCCTTAAAACAACACACTTACTGTCCCAGGGTTCTGTGGGTCAGGTGTTAGGGCATAGCTTAACTGGGTCCTCCTTTTAAGGTATCACAGGATTGCAATCAAGATGTCAGACTTGTCTCCTCATCAGAGGTTTGACTGGGGAGGGATCTGCTTCCAGTTTCCCTCAGGTTGTCGGCAGAATTTTTATCTTTGCAGCTCTAGCAGGATGGATGATACACTCACTCTTATATTATTACATGTACATAATCATGTACATCTCATCCCTTTTGCCACAAGTCGCAGGGCCCACCAACATTCAAGATAGAAAGGGGAGGATTTTGTAAATATATAATACCCAGGAGGTGAGGATCATGAGGCCACCTTAAAGTCTGTCTGCCACTTTCAACTTTTATTTCATCATTACTGCTCTCCACTTATTCTTTATTATACCCCTCCCTTCCCCCTCCCCCCAACCAGAGATTAAAAAATAACCAATGTGATTCTTTTTTTTTTGTAGTGGGCTTAAAATTGAATTCAGTGGATCCAGCAATGAGCATTGATCTTAAGTACTTGGGAGTACAGCTACCTTTGGCTCCAGCCACTAGCTTTCCATTCTGGAACCTTACCGGAGCCAACCCTGCCTCTCCTGGTGAGTGCATAGTATTTGTAAAGTCAAACAGGTTTGTGATAAAAATAAAATGCTACCATTGTTAGAGACATTTAGGATACACTAATTAAATCCTTTAGTGGTGAGTCTTAACTATGATTTATACATTTTAGATGAAATTGTAGTAATTAATTAGGTATTAAATATTGGCTTCGTGGAATTTTGATCGTCTCTTTTACTTTTACTTTTATAGATGCTGGATTTCCCTTTGTTTCTAGGACAGGGAAGACCAATGATTTCACTAAGATCAAGGGGTGGAGGGGAAAGTTTCATAGTGCTTCTGCATCTAGGAATGAAGGTAATCAGCTTTTAAAAAACTTAAAAATACATTCTGAAAAATGTGGCCAAAGACTCTTATTAAAAGTAAACCTTGGTTGTTTTTCTTTCTCTCTCCTTTCCATGCTTTAAAATAAACTGAAAATAATTATCTTGTCTTTTTTTGTTCATTTTCTGTGTCCTGTCCCTGTCCCGGGGTTCCGTCCCTAACCATGTCAGACTTAAATAATCATTGCAACCTTTTCAAACTGCACTTCCTTTCTATTCCTATAGTTACAAAAAGCATCATTGTCAAGCATTATTTCAGAACTGTATACTTCAGAGCTGTAGAGTGATTTCCAATAATGTTATAGTACTTCAAAGTAAACTTCTAAATCCAATCTGAAATCTAAATTTTGATTGTGTGTCTGTTGGTCTCCTTAGTGCTTCTCCTTTCACACTGCAGTTGTTTGCAGTTACACTCTAACTAGATAAATTTATCGTTTGTTCAATATAATTTTTCTCCTCTTTGAATCTTTGTACAGTATTATAATAGTGTAATGCTTGTCTCTGTTAAACTTGCTTTCTCTTATTCCTTAAAAACTAAATTTTATGCTCCTGTTTTTGTGCCCTTAGCTTTTTCCCTTACTTCTGAGGAGGGACAGTTTGGAAGATCTGGTAGCTTATAAAGGAATGCTCCTGGCATTTTTTTAAAGTGTATTTTTCTAGAGACATAAATATCTGTCTTACATTTCTTTAAGTATCTGTATATCTTTATTTCTAGGTGGAAATTCTGAAGGTCCATTGAAAAACCGTTCTGCTTTCTGCAGTGATAAGTTGGATGAATACTTGGAAAATGAAGGCAAGCTGATGGAAACAAGCATGGGTTTCTCTTCTAATGCTCCCACGTCGCCTGTGGTTTACCAGCTTCCCACCAAGAGTACCAGCTATGTTCGAACACTTGATAGTGTGCTGAAGAAGCAGTCTACCATTTCCCCTTCTACCTCTTACTCTTTGAAACCTCATTCTGTACCCTCTGTCTCTAGAAAGACAAAGTCTCAGAACAAACAGACAACTTTCAGTGGCCGAACTAAATCATCTTATAAATCCATTTTACCATACCCTGTTTCACCAAAGCAGAAACACACTCATATGATTCCAGGAGATAAAATTACCAAGAATTCTTCAAGCACCACCTCAGAAAACCGGGTGAATAATTTGATTGTGCCAACTTTAGATGAAAATACATTTCCAAAGCAAATTAGTTTGCGGCAGGCACACCAGCAGCAGCAGCAGCAGCAGCAGCAACAGGGATCTCGCCCCCCAGGCTTGTCTAAATCTCAAGTGAAGTTAATGGATCTGGAAGACTGTGCACTTTGGGAAGGAAAACCAAGGACCTATATCACTGAAGAGCGAGCAGATGTGTCCTTAACAACTCTGCTTACGGCTCAAGTAGGTATCTTTTGTTTTCCAGAAGTATATTAGTCTTGTCGAGAAAAATTATGTTGTTAGGAGAAATGGGAATGGGGCTTTTTGGCAGGAGGATGGGGTGTTAGTTAACTTAGTGACAGCTAAGGAAAAGTCTCCCACATTTGTTCTTCTTTATCAACTAGATACCAAGTGTAGATTCCTCCTGCCAGCAGAGAGAGACTGTACAGTCATGCTTTTGAATTGTCCCTCTCCTTTATAAAGGCAGCTGACTATTCTGAACATTTCTAATTTCATTCTCCAGCATGTGGGCAAGTACATTTACTGTCTTGTTAAAATAGCTTTGAAAACTCTGCTTAGAAGGTATTAAATCCCAGAAAATACCCCAAATTATCAACCTACAGAGAGCACAGTTTTGTCTTTTATAAAATTACATATTAAGAAATTTTCATTAATTGTTGATTCAGCTATGGTAATGTAGGTGAATGGTATGTTATAGCCTTTGTGTATGTGAAATGATACAGCAGCATGTGGATAAGTTTTCTGTCATGAAATTTCTGTAGTTTGCCTTCCATATTTTAAATTCTGTGACTAAATTCTAGAGCTGAAGATCATCAGATATTGGGACTAAATATAAATTTTATCTTTAAAATCAATCATTCCTAAAGACTTTTCAGTTCAGTTCAGTCGCTCAGTCATGTCCCGACTCTTTGCGACCCCATGAACTGCAGCACGCCATGTCTCCCTGTCCATCGCCTACTTTCAGAGTCCACTCAAACCCCTGTCCATTGAATCGGTGATGCAATCCAACCATCTCATCCTCATCCCTTTCTACTCCTGCCCCCAATCTTTCCCAGCATCAGGGTCTTTTCCAATGAGTCAGCTCTTCGCATCAGGTGGCCAAAGTATTGGAGTTTCAGCTTCAACATCAGTCCTTCCAATGAACACTCAGGACTGATCTCCTTTAGGATGGAATGGTTGGATCTCCTTGCAGTCCAGGGGACTCTCGAGTCTTCTCCAACACCACAGTTCTAAAGCATCAATTCTTTGGTACTCAGCTTTGTTCATAGTCCAACTCTCACATCCATACATGACCACTGGAAAAACCATAGCCTTGACTAGATGGACATTTGTTGGCAAAGTAATGTCTCTGCTTTTTAGTTTGCTATCTAGGTTGGTCATAACTTTCCTTCCAAGGAGTAAGCGTCTTTTAATTTTATGGCTGCACTCACCATTTGCAGTGATTTTGGAGCCCAGAAAAATAAAGTCAGCCACTGTTTCTACTGTTTTCCATCTATTTGCCATGGAGTGATGGGATCAGATGCCATGCTCTTAATTGTCTGAATGTTGAGCTTTAAGCCAACTTTTTCACTCTTTCACTTTTTCAACTTTCACTTTGATCAAGAGGCTCTTTAGTTCCTCTTCACTTTCTGCCATAAGGGTGGTGTCATCTGCATATCTGAGGTTATTTATATTTATCCCTGCAATCTTGATTCCAGCTGGTGCTTCCTCCAGCCCAGCGTTTCTCATGATGTACTCTGCATATAAGTTAAATAAGCAGGGTGACAATATACAGCCTTGACATACTCCTTTTCCTATTTGGAACCAGTCTGTTGTTCCATGTCCAGTTCTAACTGTTGCTTACTGACCTGCATACAGGTTTCTCAAGAGGCAGGTCAGGTGGTCTGGTATGCCCATCTCTTACAGAATTCTCCTCAGTTTATTGTGATCCACACAGTCAAAGGCTTTGGCATAGTGAGCAGAGCAGACATGGATGTTTTTCTGAAACTCTTGCTTTTTCAGTGATCCAGTGGATGTTGGCAATTTGATCTCTGGTTCCTCTGCCTTTTCTAAATACCACCTTGAACATCTTGGAAGTTCACGGTTCACGTATTGCTGAAGCCTGGCTTGGAGAATTTTAAGCATTACTTCACTAGCGTGTGAGATGAGTGCAATTGTGTGGTAGTTTGAGCATTCTTTGGGATTGCCTTTCTTTGGGATTGGAATGAAAACTGACCTTTTCCAATCCTGTGGCCACTGCTGAGTTTTCCAAATTTGCTGGCATATTGCATGCAGCACTTTTACAGCATCATCTTTTAGGATTTGAAATAGCTCAACTGGAATTCCATCCCTTCTACTAGCTTTGTTCGTAGTGATGCTTCCTAAGGCCCACTTGACTTCACATTCCAGGATGTCTGGCCCTAGGTGAGTGATCACACCATGGTGATTATCTGGGTCGTGAAGATCTTTTTTGTGCACTTCTGTGTATTCTTGGCACCTCTTCTTAATATCTTCTGCTTCTGTTTAGGTCCATACCATTTCTATCCTTTATGGAGCCCATCTTTGCATGAAATGTTCCCTTGGTATATGTAATTTTCTGGAAGAGATCTCTAGTCTTTCCCATTCTGTTGTTTTCCTCTATTTCTTTGCATTGATCGCCGAGGAAGGCTTTCTTATCTTTCCTTGATAGTCTTTGAAACTCTGCATTCAAATGGGTATATCTTTCCTTTTCTCCTTTGCTTTTCGCTTCTCTTCTTTTCACAGCTATTTGTAAGGCCTCCTCAGACAGCCATTTTGCTTTTTTGCATTTCTTTTTCTTGGGGATGGTCTTGATTCCTGTACAGTGTAACGAACCTGCATCCGTAGTTATCAGGCACTCTGTCTATCAGATCTAGTCCCTTAAATCTATTTCTCACTTTCACTGTATAGTTACAAGGGGTTTGATTTAGGTCATACCTGAATGGTCTAGTGGTTTTCTCCACTTTCTTCAATTTCGGTCTGAATTTGGCAATAAGGTGTTCATGATCTGAGCCACAGTCAGCTCCTGGTCTTGTTTTTGCTGACTGTATAGAGCTGCTCTCCATCTTTGGCTGCAAAGAATATAATCAGTCTGATTTCAGTTATGCATGTATTTTCCTGTTCTCTTTTTATTAATTACCATAGAGCAGGGGTCAGTAAACAATTTCTGTAAAGGGGCAGATAGTTAATACTTTTGGCCTTGTAGGCTTTATCGTCTCCGTTGCAGTTTCTCAACTCTGCTGTTGTAATGCCATAGATGTTATGTAAATGAGTGGACCTGGGTGTGTTCCAATGAAATTTTACTTAGGAAGCAGACTGAATTTGGCCCTTGGGCCTTAAGTTGGTCAACCCCTGCTCTATAGCATTATGTGTGATGTCTGTTGAGAATAAGTTCATCCTTGTTGATACTTTGGCTCATAATTAAACTATTGGAGAGGGGAAAGGCAGTCTACTCCAGTATTCTTGCCTGGACAATCCCATGGACAGAGGAGCCTGGCAGACTACAGTCCGTGGGATCGCAAAGAGTTGGACCTGACTGAGTGACTAATGCTAACACTAATTAAAATATTTGTTCTCTTATCTATGCTATGCGTTTTAGAATGGGAGATTGCTCAGACTTCTTGTTATATTCCTACTTTGTCTTCTGAATCTGAACTAATCTTACACTGTTTGTACTGAGTGCTCGGAATAGAAGGCGGCAGACCAGTATATAATTGTAACTTGTTAGAGGATGTTTTAGTAGATTTATAATTTTCTACTCTTAACTTTAGGCATCTCTCAAAACTAAACCCATCCACACTATCATAAGGAAACGAGCCCCTCCATGCAACAATGACTTCTGTCGATTGGGGTGTGTATGTTCAAGTCTAGCTTTGGAGAAGCGCCAGCCTGCTCACTGCCGCCGACCAGACTGCATGTTTGGCTGCACCTGTTTGAAAAGAAAAGTTGTACTTGTTAAAGGGGGATCCAAAACTAAGCATTTCCAGAGGAAGAGTGCTCATCGTGATCCAGTATTTTATGATAATTTGGGTGAGGAGCACAAAGAAGGAGGAGAAGAGGGAGTCAAAGAGGAGGAAGAACAATTGAAAGAGAAAAAGAAGAGAAAGAAGCTAGAGTACAGTGAGTATTAAGAATTAAGACAGTACAGTTTTTTTTTTCCAAATAGTATGATTATTTGAAAATGTATCTCAGGTATAAATTACTTTAATCTTCTTAATCAGTGATCTCATAAGAATTTAATTCTTATTATTCTTAAAATGCTCTTTGTATATGGCATGTGTGACATACACAGACCTGCACTCATATGCTTTTTTTAAATTGAAATTTTCTCTTGAAGATAGCTCTTCTGTGTTAAATTCGAATCTTCTCTCAATTTCATTTTTTCCTTTTCTACTATATCTTTTTATTTTGTTTAAATAGATTGACTAATTTCACCATGTAATTAAAGTTTCTTGCTTCTTAGTTTATGGGTGGATTCTTTAGTGTTTGAGCCACCAGAGAAACCCTCTTAGTTTATTAGAGGATTAATATTCCAGTTTTGGCAGTTTATGTTTACATTTGCTTTTGTTTGCCATGTACTGTCTTCAGTCAGATTGGATGATTAATATTTTGATATATGTTCTTCCAGTATTTTCTGTTCATATATATATATATTTTATAGAAATGAAACTTCTGTACATATGGTAACTTTTATAACTTTCTTATCATAAAATCATATTCTGCTTTGTGTATTAACAACTACAGCTCTATCACAGTTCTTTTGGTTGGATATTTAGCTTTTCTGGGTTTTCAAATAGTATGGTGATGAACATTCATGTTCAGTATAGGCTATTAAAAGTAGAATTGCTGTGACAATGAGGATTTTTTAAACATTTTAAAATGTTTCTACAATTGTACCAACTACACAATTACCAGTAGTTGGATAGTGCCAGTTCTATGTTCTTGTTAGATATTAAAACTGATAGGTAGAAATTGATGTCATCTTAAATTTATATTTCTGTAGTGATAGGTTTATTGACCATGTCATAAACTATAAATGGCTTTTTCAAATTCTTTGCTAACTTTTATTGGAGTGGTTTTGTTTTTTTCCCATATGTTTCCATGAGCTTTATTTTTCTCCAAGTTGTAATTTTGTAATTTACATTTTAATTTTCTTCAGAGTTCTTCCCATCTCCCTTAGGCAAAGGAAAATCAGAGATGACATGGTTAGGTCTAGTAGTCTCTTCTTTTTATGATTCTGGTTCTTTGGAATCTTAGACTTTCTCTATCCTCAAGATTAAAAAAAAATTTATTAGTAATTGGTCTTAAAAAATTAAGTTGTTAATATATCTGGAATTTATGTGATATTTGTAGTAGGCATCATTTGTAGTAGGGCATCATTTCTCCCTCAAATGGCTAGCCAGTTGTACTATTACTTGTTGAGAGTAAATACTTGACTTACTGGTGTGAAATGTCATCTGTGATACAAGACATGAAAATATACCAGTGTTTGGGTCTGTTTTTAATCTCTGCTGTTCATTTTGTGACCAGTGCCAGGCTATTCTAATTGCTATTTCAGTATTCAAATGCAGTACTCTACCTGCATGAACTTGTTGCAAATATGATTTTAAAAGTTTAGAATGAAATATAATACAAAGTTATTAATTTAGTTTTTCCCATATCTAGTTATTGAGTTTACCCCATATTGCACTTACAGCAATACTTTTCCATTTGAAAGCAACCGAAGTAAGTTACAAAAACCACAGCAGGAGGAATACTGTATACCTGTTAGGTTTATTACTTTGCTTTCTTGGTAGAGACTTCACCCTGTGTCTTAATTAGAGTTAAACTCCAGAAGCCAGCCAATTATCAAAGTATGTTTTGGTTTTCTCACTGGGATAGTCCTTAATGAAAGACATTGTCTACTATATTCTAGGAGCCATTAAGTTTCTTGTACTGTTAGGGAACAATGGGGAGAGGAGGGAAGATACTTTTGTAATGATTGCTCTGTAAAAGGAGTAGAAATAGGGAAGAGTTCTTGGAGGCAGAAGTGTTGCTGAGACTGAAAATAAAGATAAATATAGAAACTGGAAGAAGTTGAAATCTAGCAGTGTTTTGCGAAAAGATAGGTGGAAAATGAGAAAAAAAATTGCTGATGATTAAAAGGAGTTGGAGAAAGTTAGGAGAAAATAAAAGAGAAATTACTGGAAGAAATGATGGTAGAGGGCCTTTCCTGGTGGTGCAGTGGTTAAGACTCCACGCTTCCACTTCAAGGGGCACACAAAGTCTATCCCTGGTCAGGGAACTAGGATCTCATATTCCGTGTGGTGTGGCCAAAAGTAAATAAATAAATAAAAGTAATAGGGTAGAGTAGAATAGAACAGAAAGAAGTGGTGATAGAAAATGTCTCAAAACTGAAGAACATGACATTTCTGATTTAAGGGGCCATTGAATTCCAGGCAGTTAAGAATTTTAAGGTGACTCTATGTAGACACGTTCTTGTGACATTTCAGAACACTGAGAGGGAAGAATATATCCTGAACTCTTTTTATAAGAAGCCATTTTTACTAAGAAGGATTTCGAATCAGTTTGGTGTCAAAGAGATCATCAATAACACTGGATGTTTGAGTAATATTTTTAAAGTCAGAGTTGAATAGGGATTGGATGAATTTTTAATCTAACACTCTTGGCCAAGTTATAAACCATAATTTATAATTATGCATGAAATAGAGATATATTAAAACATCAGGATGCAGGAAGTTGATCTGTTACAGATTCTTGGTTACTTTCTTGAGGTTGTGCTCCAGAAGATGGAAAAAAAAAAAAATTCAAGAAATAAGAGATAACATCTAGTGAGTTAATGAACACAACCCAAGAGAAAACAATCTTAGGATGACTGCTATAGACCAAGACTATAAAGCAAGCAGTCTAATTTAACATAGAAAAATCAGAAGATGCTGAGAAGACTACCTTTAAGAGTATATTAGTTTTATTTTAAGAAGTGACATGGTTAAGAGCCTGGATGATTCATGATTAGGTGAAATTACATGCCAACTTCATCAGTTAACAAAAGAATTGAAAACACAGGGAGGAAAAAATTTGTACAGGAAAATTATGGTCCAACTATTGTATGACCAGTACAATTTTTGGTAAAATTTTGAGCAATTAAGAAAAGAGGGACTTCCCTCTTAGTGCACTGGATGAGAACCCACGTTCCGTTATGGGGAACACTGGTTCAGTCCCTGATCTGGGAACTAAGATCCTACATGCTGCATGAATAATAATAATAATAAAAAATTAGTAAGAAAAGAGGATCTATTGGAGAATTTGAACAGATTTAGTGGTATAGAATTACATTTTCTTCTCCTTAGGGGTCAGTCACATTAGTTGATTCTACAAGGATTTATAGGGCTTCCTTCATAGGTTAGTTGGTCAAGAATCTGCCTTCAATGCGGGAGACCTCGGTTTGATCCCTGGGTTGGCAAGATCGCCTGGAGAAGAGAAAGGCTACCCTCTCTAGTATTCTGGCCTGGAGAATATACAGTCTATGGACTGTATGGACTATACAGTCCATGGAGTCCCAAAGGATCAAACACGACTAAGCTACTTTCACATTCTTTCACAAGGATTGATCACATAAGCATAATTGACTAAGCAGATGTGTGGATATTTTTTTAGAATTGGCACATACAAATTATTGAAGTTCCAAATTTTTAGGATAGAAATTAGTACCACAAACCATGACAATGAAAGTAGCTCTGTAGCTGATGGAAGTTGAGATATGGAACAAGTTTAGGATGCTAATTTCCTTATCTTTCATCACACTGAGTCCCTAGCTAATGCTAAAAGCATGGAGTTGAGTATAAAGTGTTTTGTTTAGGATTATTGAGATAACCACCAAAACTGAACACAAATGGTTGAAAGTAGTCACTTGTGGGACTGTGACAGAGTGTGGTGGAAGATGTGCCTTTCATTTTTGTGTCATTTTGTATAGTTTGAATTTTTAGTGTTTTTGAATTTATTCTACAATTAATGTATAAATTAAATATTAGTGTTTTTGATGTGTGAAATGTAGGCATTTAAGAATTGCTTTTTTTGGTCATTGTAATAGACTTAAATTTTTTTCTGTGATTAGCAGCCCATTAATTCATTGATGTGGAGAGAGGGATGCTAACAGTAGTAGTTCAGTTCAGTCGCTCAGTCGTGTCTGACTCTTTGTGACCCCGTGAATCGCAGCACGCCAGACCTCCCTGTCCATCACAAATTCCCAGAGTTTACTCAAACTCATGTCCATCGAGTCGGTGATGCCATCCAGCCATCTCATCCTCTGTCGTTCCCTTCTCCTCCTGCCCCCAATCCCTCCCAGCATCAGGGTCTTTTCCAATGAGTCAACTCTTCTCATGAGGTGGCCAAAGTATTGGAGTTTCAGCTTCAACATCAGTCCTTCCAATGAACACCCAGGACTGATCTCCTTTAGGATGGACTGGTTGGATCTCCAAGGGACTCTCAAGAGTCTCCTCCAACACCACAGTTCTAAAGCATCAATTCTTCGGCACTTAGCTTTCTTCACAGTCTAACTCTCACATCCATACATGGCCACTGGAAAAACAGCCTTGACGAGACGGACCTTTGTTGGCAAAGTAATGTCTCTGCTTTTTATTTTTATTTTATTTTATTTTTATGTCTCTGCTTTTTAATATGCTATCTAGGTTGGTCATAACTTTCCTTCCAAGGAGTAAGCGTCTTTTAATTTCATGGTTGCAGTCACCATTTGCAGTGATTTTGGAGCCCCCCAAAATAAAGTCTGACACTGTTTTCACTGTTTCCCCGTCTATTTCCCATGAAGTGATGGGACCAAATGCCTTGATCTTAGTTTTCTGAGTGTTGAGCTTTAAGCCAACTTTTTCACTGTCCTCTTTCACTTTCAAGAGGCTTTTGAGTTCCTCTTCACTTTCTGCCATAAGGGTGGTGTCATCTGCATAAAGGTGGTGTCATCTGCATATCTGAGGTTATTTATATTTCTTCCGGCAATCTTGATTCCAGCTGGTGCATCTTCCAGCCCAGCGTTTCTCATGATGTACTCTGCATATAAGTTAAATAAGCAGGGTGACAATATACAGCCTTGACATACTCCTTTTCCT